CCCTTAAGCTTGCAAAAAGTAAACTGGCAGGGAGGCAAAAAAGGACAGTCAGATCTGGCTAAACATTTCCCTTCTGAAGTTTTGCTTTACCCTATGTCTTTCATACACAGAGCAGCTATTCCATATAGACTCCCATCAGAGAGAGAACAGTTGTCTTCTGTAAAACCAGAGAAGCTTCCTCCAGTGTCTATCATTGCCAACTACTCCATGATTGCTGCTTTTTGACTGTCATTCAAAATTCTACCTTTCTAGTATTCAGTTTTGGTTCTATTTCAATTCAAAGGGCCATAGCTACCCTGCAGATTACCATATGGTGTAGGGATCTGAGCAAGCTTGAAATGAGAAAGCCTGAGTCTGAGTCTGCACAGACATGGATACAGGATGCTCAGCAGAGGATAATTTATCTCACTTCCAAGAAAAGAAAATTACCATGGTAAGCCTTGTGTTGCTGCAGCAAGATTTCTACCAGTACTCAAGTTACCTCATTTAAAGCTAGGGTGGGAATCTGTAAACAATACTGAAAATTGCACAGTCTCAAACTCAGATGCTTTTCCTTGGATGGATTATACATCAAGAGTATCTGCTGCCACAGAAAAACAGGCAGAAGGAAGCTTCCTTCATTAAGTATTCAAATCCTTAACAATTCTTTGGCATATTCAAGCCAGGTCACTCCAAGAACTCATGAGATGAACTGCAATTTTGCAGCTGTTAAACACCAAAACCATAGGCAGGTTTCACCACTGCTGTCCTCTTGGGGAAGAAATGTATTGAGGGTATTTAATGAATTTACTATGTTTTTGAAGATTGAACTCTCCTTCTAAAGTCTGCCCACCTCAATGTGACATTTAAACAGTAAAAGAACTCTCACCAAACACTTTCTTCAATCATGCAGCCTTACAATGCTACAAGCAGTGACTGAGGGAGATAATTTTATGCAGCTACACACATATACATGCACATATATCTATCACATACACAAATATAAATATTTATAAAATTGAAGAGACTCTAGTTGTACCCGTAAAGTTGTACCCATTTGCCACAGAAGTCAGTGACAAATGCTGCAAATGGCACAAAACCAACTGTACCGCTCACTGAAGTGAGCAACTAGCTGCATATTGATGCCAGAATTTCCTATAAAGGTGATTTCTGTTTCATTTTGGATTTTTAAAGATAGAAACTTATCTTGTCAGTTTGCTAAGATCTTGCAAGTTCCACTGTGCATTAGAAAGGACATGTTCTCAAACAGTAATCACTCACATTGCCAACTGCAAGATATTTTTCAGAGTAAGATAATGTCATCCTCACTAAAGAAAATATCAGTGACTGCAAATTTCTGGGGACATTACTAATGTAAGGTATTATGCAAGGTACTGTAATATTTGCATTTTATATTATTTAGAAGTTCTTCAGAAACTGATTGGGATTTTTAGGAGTGGTTATAGTTTGCTCAAATCTGCTCTAAATGAAGATAATTATACCACTCGCTTTATTCATCAAATAAGTAAAGGATTAGACCTCTTGAAAAGTACTTTAGAGAAATAAAATATAAAAAAATTATTTCTCTGAATAGAGAAAGTACAAAAATTTTGACATTTATTACTGTAAATGTAGACTGTTAGAATACCCCCAACCATTTAATTACATCATGGCTAGAAATACTTTGAAAAACACATCCCTGTTTTTGATATTCTGGTATGGCAAGACAAACATAGGCCTAGCAAATGTTGCACCTCCACTGTTTTGATGATTTCAATAATCAGATAAAAGTTAACCAAGGAGTTGCATCAGCTTGAGTGACTTCTGGAGAGCTAGAGCCAAAAGCCACTGGTGACTGTAATCATGCAGCAAATTGAAGCTATGTGTTCTTTTGATGCTTTTCTACAGCTTCTTCTTCAAGAAGACTAAAAGCATGAAGAAAAACTGTTTTTCTGAACAGGAAATCTTCAGCAGAAAATGTAAACAGAATTTGGAAACAGTTGAAAAACCACAGAATGGAAAAAAGAGATTCTGCAGAGAAGCAGATTGTAACTGGGCAGCAAGGACCTGCCTAAGCTTGCAAAGAATAGCCAGATTTAGATAAGGCTGTGTGCATCTAAGGATTTGTTGTTTATTGCTTGCAAAACTCCTGTGGGAAGACAAATCCCATGTTGCCCTGTGCAAGCAGTTCCCTGTGACTGTACATGGTGGTTTGTGATAGCTCTGGATTTAGAGCTATCGTTCTGACCGGTCAAAAGCAGATCAAGCACTCAGGAAAATAAGGAGTCAGCCATAGGAACCCATCAGGCATAAGGGGCATACTGAGGCCTGATGCTTAGAGGATATAATCAGGGAAGAGAGAAAAGGCAGTTTCACCTGATCTGCTTTACTGCTTTACTAAAAGACAGTCCCATGAACACCACGGGAAACTTTATAGGCAGCAAAGGTTAATTAAATTTCTTTTTCCTTTCAGACCATTCCTCATGAGAGTTCCCTTCCACAAAGTAAATCCTTCTTTGACCTTAAAAGAAGGATCATATTTGCAGTCAATCAGGAAAGCATGTTTTCTTGCTGTCTGTTCTCCTAGGCAATGGCCTGCAGGTACAGAAAGCTCCAACAGCATAATTCTTTGCCCCTGTTTTGAAGACACCAATATCCAGATCAAGAATAAACACAGCAGGACCAGAATTAAAGGCAATCACTGCACAAGCTGCACTTCCCTTGTGGAAGCATCCATCACATAACACCAAGAACTCCTTTCTTCATACATAGCCTGCTGCTACAGGTGAAACACAAAATTGTGTAGGATTGGGGACCTATGGTCTCTTAGTCTTCTTAAATTTGAAGTATTTATCATCACTACCTGGAACTAAACAGCAATGATTTGAAGGCAACAAAGAACCATTTCCTCTCTTGTCTCTCTTTCTGTCAATCACAAATTTAGATTAATAACTTGACAATTACAAGTATTGTGTTACAGGCAAGAGCTGTGGGTGTTCATCATTGCTAGGAATGAGGTGACTTTTAATATCAGTTCAAGATCATAACCTCTGGAATATTTGAGAAAGGAATTCAGTCCAGAATTGTAACACACCTAATGTTTTATGCAGGCAAATCTAAGGGATATGATATCTTACTGCTATACCCATGCAGATGACTTACTAGAACTTGGGAAGAGCTAACACATGGCTAGTAATGACACCAACAAGAAAGATGTCTGTAGTCCAAAGAACTAAATAAAGTCTTGTCTGTCTGGTTAATAAGAGAGTTACATGAATATAGGCAGTATACAAATAAAACACTTAAAGATCAGCTATATATTCATAGCATGAATGCTTCTAGTGCATAACACTACATACAAAAGGCTGAATATCATTGTGTGCTACAAGGAAACAACATCTTGGATTCATGCTGCTGCAGACTGTTGCTGCTATGTGGCCACCGCTGTATAGTTGTGACTTTTACTCTCTCCCATACTCCTTTGAGAGGAGCACACTTGGCAATCTGTGCAGTGCTGGTCACTGGAACATAATAGTCAGCGAGAGAAAATCCCAGCAGGAGCCACCTGCATAAAGGAGCACTTGATGCTGAGGTGTGGTCAGCATTACGCACCAGCTGCCTCTCCTGCCAGCTGCTGAGCTCTGCTTGGTTGGAGAGAATAAAACCAGACCAGCAGCCTGAAGAATCTCTCAGCAGGGAGACAGGAAAGAATACTCTGCACAAAGTATTTTTCAAATATTTTCAAATGCAGGTCTGTTCCTATAATAGCAGCTGGATTGTGACAAACAGGTCTCTGCCATTGCTCAACAACATATAATTTTTGCATTTTCTGCAAATCTTTTGGGGTTTCTTAAACTAGTCTAACTTCAACCTGGATATTCTTCATATAGAGAAATAGAAAACTTAAAGGAGAGGATGATCAGAATTAAGCTATTTAAATGAATATATACATAAGAAAAAAACCCCAATGGTATTGCCTGGGATTCTTTTTCTTAGATTAGACAAAAATATGTAAACCCATATAACAGTTTAATCTTAGCCTGGAAGGATAGTGCCCTCTGGTGATTAAAATGCCCTAATATTTGAAAGTATGACTCTTCTAATCAGCTGCATTAGACTACTCAATTGCCAAAGCTTTGATTTTGAAATACATTTAATTAAGAATCTTTCATCTGTAGCAAATATATCTCCTTCTGTGTGATTGAAAAAATTAAATTAACATTTTCTTACCTAATACAAACAGCTGCTGACTGATTCTGCTGCTTTGCAATTCTTAGTATTCATTAAGGTCCACAAAAAGTTTATAAACATAAGAGGAATATACTTATTGGTTGTGCCTCTTAAGAAGAAACAGAGGTTTAACACTAAGTCACTGAACTGCTCCAGGTCCCTGAGTTCATCCAGTCAACTACAGGAAAGAAAAAAGGATGTATTCATATTTTTTCCTATTTACAAAAAAATATTCTACATTCATAATAGATTCCGCTAAATATCTCACTAATTCATTCAGGTACAAGTAAATATGTAAATTTGAGTGGAAAAAAAAAATAGCAAATTTTCATAAGTTGAGAAATCTTGTCTATTTCTGACCAAAGTCAATTGATGCAGCATTCTACTAACCCATGACAAAGGAGTTCAGTGCCAAAAGGAAGAGAACATTAGGGACCTCTGTTTCTTCCTGTAGGGACTCCTGCAATTGCCTGCCATTCCTTATATTGCTACATCTCATTTTCAAATTATAGCAATATTACAAATGGGTGGGTGTGCTAAATGAGATATGTTTAATATCTTTGCTAGGTTGCAGGGTTGAAGTCTAGAAGAGTCCTGCTTTTTCCTGGTTCCCTATTATCCTTTTCTACCAAGATGAGAAGATTTTAGTGGCCAGGTTTGTTTTACTAGCAATCACTATGCTAGCAAATATTGTTAAACCTTACGTAACCTTCTCGTAAGGCTGAATACTAAAACATTAGAAAAAGAAAGAACACACACAAGAGGAAAGAAGCTAATGAAATTCTTCTTACCAAGCTGGTATCTTCAGCCTGTAAAGATATTGGAGAGGGAGACTAATTCATCATATTGAGGCTCCCAGATCCTAGGTGCCATGGGAGCCTCTGCTAGGAAGGCTAGTAAGAAAAATGCCATTTGAAGTCTTTTTATACTAAGAAGCAGCAGCAGTTAAGACAAAATTATATGAATGCTGGTATGAACCTGCCTGTGCTCACAAAGAGGGAAGCTGACTGATGGAGAAATCCCATAGTCTCTGCCAGATACATTTCTAATCACTAGCTGTGCCTCATACTGAGTATTTCCAGGCATTCAGGCTGAAATTCCTTAGAGATTATTTTGTAATGTTTTTCCATAGCTGTGTGCCCAGAACAAGAACCCTCCTTGAGGAAGAGATTAAAGTAAGCTAATTCTGCCTTGGAAAAGGGTGGAAGCGTGACAGTGAATAACAGGAAGGCCCTGGAGAGCTGAACCATGCTGCCATGGCAATTGAAGGAAGCACTATCCACCTTCCCACACACTGCACCAACAGCGGCATTTGCCCTTAAACTGCTCAAGGACTACACACTGCCTGCACCAGAAATTTTTGCTCCACCACACGATCAAGTGACCCAGACAATTCCCTGTGTCTAAACTGTGTCACTATTGCCAGTTCTGTAGCAGCATGTGTGAATGGAACAATGAATAAATTGTGAAGAATGCCCCTGAAGCCAGAATATATTCAAGGTTTTAAGTAGCTCTCCTCACAACAACATTTGGAAAATAAAAGCCAACAGCAAAAGACCATTGACATGAAAGAAGTTTCAGTCTCATTTCCCTTTTCAATACAAGTCTATCAAAATATTTGAGCAGATGTATCTGTCCTATTGCCTTTTAAGAGCTCTATACTTTATCAATAGTTTCGCTTTGAGAATATGAAGATAGGAATAGTAAGAAAGCCAACTTGATCTAAATCTATGGTAGGGAACAAGTTTAAAGTAGCATTCATGTTCTACTTACAGTTTATACAAATTTAAATCCTCATTATTTAGTTATATGACTTTCTGTACATTGCCTTTCAAAATTTAAGCAGGGATTATGTGTTGGAAGTACACGTGGAATGCAGTTTAGAAGTTAAAAATAAGTGGCCAAAAGAAATTTTTATATTATCCCCTGAGCAGAAAATTATTTAAGTGAAATCTGCTTCCATTTAATCAGCACTTCTTAAAAGTGATCTTTGTGAAGTAAGACCCAGTTCCACAAATTAGTCTGCAGAAGTATCTTAGATGCTTGCACTTTTTTCTGACAAAATAATTGAATAAGTTGCTTACGATGTTGAGCTGTCAGGATCAAAATGTTAAAAGCTTTAACTAGGCATTTAAATTGTCCATGAGCATTTGAAATTACCAAAATTTGTCAATGTTTAAAAAAATCAAGCACTATTTACTGAATTTCTCATTGAAATAACAGCAAATACAGGGGAAAAAAGTATTTGAAGTCAAAATCAAATCAGCAACATCATATACTAAGCACCAGAGCTACCATAAAGATTTTTATGTTGTCTACCAGTCATTTTGCTCTAGAGAGAGTTGCTACATACATGGCACTTCTGAAGATTAGACATTTGCTTACATATACAAGTCTTCATTGGTCTTCATTTTAGAGTAGTTTGGGTATATGGAACAGCCATTGCCAGAATCAAGCTAGCTACTCCTAGGAAAAATAACCATCTTCCCTTCCTCCCCCATTTCCAGCATCAGAAACAAAGCACATTCTGTGTAGCTCATATCCTTGCTCCTCTTCCCACACCGTGAGTTCGGATAAGATCAGGCTTCAGCCTTCAGCTTTGATACATAGTGCTATAAAGTCTTCCACTGACCTTGTTATTCCTAGTGTCCAACTTCCCTTTCCAGTTTCCAGTTAGTCATTGGCCCTAGTATATTCTAAACAATTAATAGTGAAAAGCTATCAACTTAAAAAGAAGAATAACTCCCCAAAACTAAGACTCAAGAGTGCAAAAGAGAACGAGGCTCATATGCCATGATCTCACAATGTAAACAACCTACCTAACCAAGAGTTATTAACACCTAAAGTAGCATCATTGAATATTTTATTGAGAAATTCTTTGAAATCAGGCTTTTAAGGGGAGGAAGAGTGCTATCAGCAAAAAGATGAGGGTACCAATAAAGGGTGCTTATAGGGACAAGTTTCCTTCCATGGGATCTAAGCTTGGGAAAGATAGGAATAAAGAGCAGAGAAGTACCATACTTGAAGCAATCCAAGTTTGCTCTGAAAGTGGTATATCACCTGCAAGGTTGTTTATTGCTTTACTCTTTACATCATTATCATCATTACTTGTGGTGGAATCACCATTCCTGGAAGTGTTTTAAAAAGCTTGGGAATGGGGCACTTGCAGACATGGTTTAGTGGTGAACATGGTAGCTCTGGATTAATGGTTGAGCACAATGATCTCAGAGGTTTCTTCCAAACCTAGCAATTCTATGGTTATTATTCCACACAATATAACATTTGAATACATCCCAATTCTTTGGTAATCCAAATGCACAGAAATAATGGGGATAGTTGTCTCTGATTTCAACCATCAAAAGAAAAATCTGACACTTTATGATTTGCTAAAGTACTAAGCTTCCAACTGACGAGGTAGAATAAAATGAAAAGGCGTTTCATGTGAATGGGTTGATTGTCAACTAAAACATGCAACTTTTAAAAGAGAGGGGAAAATATAATAGCAGGTTGAAATGCTTAGAAGACTGCATTATATGCTCAGTTCTTAAATATTTTATTATCTATCACTGTTCCTACAAAATGTATGGATGAAGGACATACTGATTTTTTTTCCTCCCATTAAAATCCACTTACAGAACAGCTCCATTTTTTTCATGTTTGCTACCCTATTTAATAATCTTAATTTAACCCCTATGATTTACCCTTTCTCAGCATATCAAAGATTTCAACAATATGGGACACAGTCATTTGGACATTAATAAGATTCCTGGAAAAACTGAAGGCTGGAAATGATCACAGAAATATAGTCTGTCAGATGTGTTCCTTTAAAAATCTCTGTAGACTGCTACATAGCATAACTCAATAGCAAAGGAGATCAAGGAAGAGCTTCCTTCTTCAAAAGTTTTGTGGATTTGGAGGTGGAGGATGGGGAAGGAACTGCAGTCAAATTGCAGACTACTCTGGTGTAGTCTCCAAGGGTGTCATAAGATACTAATAATAATTCTGGAAGTTCAAGAAGTTTTGAAATGTTTATAAGCTCTACTTTTGAAAGCTTAGCTGTTGCCTCAGATTTTAGCACCTGTCAACTCTAGCACATTAGAGCAGAAGGTGGCACTGGTGTAATAGCAGTGGGGAGTGTGAGCCTCTGGAATATCACAGAGGAGAACCAACTGAAGAAGGTTTCTTTCCCAAATAGGAACTGAACATGTGAAGAGGACACCTAGTCATTTATACTGAAATAAAAATAGCGAATAAGTTATGTCTCCACATGAAGGAAGCATAACTGAGTGTGACTAATTTTTAGGTGCTCTCTGAATATTTTGTTAATTTGTGTGTGGTTTGTTTGAATTTACAAATTTTGTTTGTTTTGCCTTTAAGGAAAACGAGCATTGCAGGAAGAACCACTGCAAAGTCTCCAGACTGGTCCAACAGCACCCCAGGCTGCTGGCCCAGAAGGAAAACATGACACAGGATGGAGGATAGAAATGGAGGAATTATAAGAGATAAAATTATCAGGATGATCAACAGCTCAGGACAGAAATGGACAGCATGATGTGGGAGCAGCAAAAGAAGGATGAAAAAGAGGAAAGGAGGAGAAAAATATTTTTTAATTATAACTAATTACTAATGCAACTTGATTTGTTTTTCCCCAAAAATGGAAATTTTTGGAGAATTCTTGGAACTGCAAGACTGGTTCTCTCTTTTAAGTGTCTGGCACACAACTCACTTTAGCTCTCTGAATTAATTTTTAAATCTGTATAATCTATCACAATAATTGTTAAAAGGCTTTTAGATAGCAAGTATTAATTCAGTATGTTCCACCTGCACATTACCACCAACAGTCTGTCCACTGTCTTACTACCTTGCACTGCACTCAGAAGAGTATTTTTTACCCAGACCACAGTTAGCACACATCACGATCATCATTCTAGTCGGGAGGTTTTTCATGCCATGGTTAAGTAACCATACTTGAGGTTAAGGTTGTTGAGGTTTTATTAAATTTCACTTTGTTTTGTTTACCTGGCATCAACATTAAGTTTCCTATATCTGTGATGGTTTTTAAATACCACTAGAGATTTCCAGATCATTATACTGGATAATTTTACTAATTTAGCTAGAGTGCTGTGCAGTTTGCATGTTTTTGTTGCAGTTTACTACAACCATTGCTACAACAGTAGTCAACATGTATTTTAATTCTACTGTTTAAGGGACATCACATAAGCAAAACTAACTAACATTTCCTTTACAGTAATAAGTGAACTTTATCTCAAATAAAGAAAAAAATATTAAACACACATTTAAAGGGTAAATCTGCTCCAAGAAATTATGCAGAAACCATTATTATTAATAATTTAAATCAAAAAATAGTATTTAATTATTTCTGACAGGGAAACAGCAAGAAACTTATGCCAAACTGGTTTTCTTCCACACGACCGCTTCATAATAGACTACTAATATTTACAAATTCTCCTGTCATAAAAAGGGCATGTGAGCACTGATTTAATTGCTGAGAGACAGTATGTTCACATATGCTCTGACCAAAACTGAGCTGTTTTTCAACAGGAGACTGTCACATGAGTTTTCTGTAGCATACACACACACATACACAAAATGCCAAAGTCTACTCTTCTTAATATGAGGCCAGTGGAAAGTTGTAAGATTATTTGTACTTTGCCCTGCAACTTTCACTAATCAAAAGAAATCATGTTTTTAAGGCACTTACTTCTCTTTACAGCACTACTTGAGAGTATATGTATAGAACCAGACTAGAAAAGCAGATTAATTTTATTTTACAAGCATGTTATATTCTTGCAAATATCAAAACTCTCCCTGCATAAATGAATCTCAGCAAGTCTATGCAAAAAGACACAGATTGCCAAGAAATCTTCAGAAAGGGTCACTCTGCGTGGAGATGTACAAAGTCATTGCTCATCTGCTGCATCCAGAGCTGCTCAGCAGATGTCTAGCAGGAGGCACTAGGAGGCTTTTCTTCAGCTGTAGGAAGCACATGCAGAGAGCACCTGCAACTGATAAAAAGTCAAAAAGACTTTTTAGACCTAGCCACACTAGTTCTTCCTAGCAACATGTATCTGCTCATTCCAAATGTGTCCCTCCCTCTTGCTATCCTTTGTGCAGTTTCCTTCCTTCTGTCTCGTACCCCACCCTTTCTCCACTGCCCCTCAGTCATTGGCACAGCAGATCACTTACACACCTGGTGAGTAACCTCGGGGTTTATTGTGTTTTTTAAGTGAGCAAACACTCTCCCTCCACATTCAGGAAATTAATTTGATATGACAGGCTTTATGTCACAGCCTTCCTCTTGCTCTGTCATTTCAGGATGCTCTGACCTCAGCAGCAGTATCTGGCTATTTCCAGCATCCAGGGGAACCAAGGAAGTAATGGATGTTGTCCAGTCTTAGCAGCAGCTGTTCCTTGCCTCAGTGACAGCAAAGGTACCTGCTGTATTTGTCAAGTCTTGATGCAAAAATCCAGACTGCTGAAGCTATCAGAAGTATTAGAGAGCAGGGAAATAGTTTTTCCTCCTTCCTGATACCAAAATTCATTTTCCACCTCTTCCCAACAGCCTAGATCTATAAAAAGAGCAAGCAGTATAATCCAGTGGTGTGGGTCCCCTTTTTCTGACAAAAGGCATTCCCCCATCTGTTCTCTAAAGAAAGAAGAGATGGATGGCTCAAGCCATCTGCACTGCAGGTCTGGGTGCAACAGTTCCAAGCTGAAGGAGCCTCAAGGTTCTTCTCTCTCACCCACATACTTTCCTGAAATACAAATTTCCCCATTTTGGTTTTGGGCTCAGAAAATAGGGTCCTCATGTAAATTTGGACCTCTAAGCACAAAAGGTAAAAATTCACTAGCACACAGCTGAACTTTTCAGGAAGCATCTGAATGATGCATTCAGAAAGGTACATGCAGATACAGGCTTTACATACATTCTAAGGAATTTCTATTCTTTCCCTATAGGAGAAAACACACAAGAATGCAGGCAGTTAGGAAATAAACTACCTGGCTATAACATCCACACACTCTGTTTGCCTTAACCTGGAAGACAAGACACAATTGTATCTGTGATAGCAGTGTTTAGAAAAAATTTCCTTCTATCACTGGATCTATAAACTAGGACAGGGTGGAGTTTGGGGGTCTTTTTAACATTTTCCTTGATTTTCTTTCACTTCAGTTCGTAAAGTAGGGACTTATTGAATCACCAAAAGTCATCCCTTGGTCCTAGGAGCAAGGGTCTGTAAGGTTATAGTAAGTTTAGTGATATCATTTTTTGTTCTCAAGCCAGACACTTTAGCATTGTATTTAATAGAATTTGAGAAATATTTCTGGAGTTCTGTGGAAAATCTTGATGAGATTTGCAAAACTATGCAAAAATTCTGCATTTCTATTGTTTAGTGAAATTTCCTGTTGGAGAACCCTTCTATTCAACAGTGGATGATTATTGTATTTACATCTTCAAAACATTCTGATTTTTTATCCCTTTCATGTGTCTGCCTCCTCTCTCTTCAAAGCAGAAGACCTCCATGCTGTTTAAAACTTTCTCATGAGAAGAGGGGATTCAAATCCCGTGATGGAACAGTCACAATTTTATAAAAAGACATAATGGTAACCTCAGATTTTCTGTTTGCTTCTTTCCTACTATTCCCTAGTACTTCACAGTACAAAAACCAGCGATGATAAGATCTTTACTGGGTAGTAATAGATGGCAGAAAGCTCCTGACCCATACACAGAAAGTGATAACACAAAAGCTGAGACTTTTTGACAGTCACCTTTCATCTGATTGCTTTGAAAATCTAGTGTCATAGCTAAGTTTTGCCACATCATTACTGAGCTCCCAGGATTATATATGAGTAGAATGAAAGTATTATGTACATGCACAGATCTTTCCTACACATTACTTCCATTCTCCTCTTGTTAAAAATGTCTCTGTCTCTCCCTTTTCCTCCCTATTTGTTAATTTGTTCTTCAAAGCTCTTAGAATGATCTAAAGACACTATAGGACAAAAAGGAAAGTTTTCTCACAGTACAGGAGTTGACTAAAAATCAGGCACAGAAGGACTGGAATAAATGGATGGAGCTTTTTGGTACATGTAGTTGAATGTCCTCTGCGTAGCAGAAATTTACTTGCTTGGTTCTAGCCCTTGCCTCAAAAGAATGACCAAACACTTTAAGCCAACAAAACCTTCTGCTGTGCTTCCTTTTTTTTCCTGTGAGCTCTCTTTAACAGCCTCTTCTGTTAATTTGTCTGATTTTTGTACCCCTTGCTGATGAGCTGATGGTATTTTTCTAGTCCTTTGTCTTCCCCCACCTCCCCAGCCCCAACCCAAAAATGAAAAATAACGTATTTCCTTTGTGTTTCTATTACTAATCACAATGGAATAATCATCAAAACTAAATTATCTCTTTTGTCTTGCCTGATGAGTATGCATTTGAACCACTGCTAGTCGGGGAAGTGTATTCATAGTACAGCAATTTTCATAGCAACAACTATATGAAAACAACAACATTCACAGGAGTAGAATTTCCTTTTATTTTAACATTTTTTTAATTGCTTACTTCTACCTAATCCTATTATGTCATTTTCTATCATTGACTTTTTAGGAATCACTGAAGTATAATAAGTAATTTGGAGTATCTGTTCAACCCACAATTGAAAATCCTAAAATAGACAATGAAAGAAAGTTGCCTTCTGTAGCACACCAACATTGAATTTCTGCTTCAAAGCCAAGAGGAGTATAACAAAAGGATTATTTGTAGCAGTCAACAGCATTAAAGCAGAACATATCGAGATACATAAAGCTCTCAGAAAGCCTTGAAGTTTTTTGTTAATGATACAATTTCCACGGTTTGGAACAGAACAACTATATTTTACTAGCAATATTATTCTTAGATTTGCAATGCATGGAACTCTAAACACCTTAACTGACACCACACAATTCTATTCTTGTGTGTTTTTTCCCATCTGGGTATTGCAGGGTGGAAACTTGTGGAAAAACCTGCCTCAGGGTTTCCAACTGATGGTCTCATTTTCAATGCTGATAAGCTTCCTGAATTCTATGAGCCTGGACTAAAATTTCCTGTGCCAGAAATGTGCCTTGGAACACAAGGAAGAACTTCTTTTCTGGGTGAAGGAATGCACACTGGAACAGACTGCCCGAAGAGGTTGAGAATTTTCCTCACTGAAGATATTCAAGAACTGTGAGGCTACAACCCTGTGTGCCATGTGTTCTGGGATGACCCTGCTTGAGCAGGGAGGTTGAACCTGATGACCCACTGTGGTCCTTCCCACCTCACCCATTCTGTGATTCTGTGAGTTAGTTCTGTGATTTTTCCATTATACAACTGGCTTTTTGGGAAAGTGAAAAAAAAAACCAAAAAAAAACAAAAAACCAAAACCAAACCACCAGCCAATAAAAAGCTAACACTATAACCCTATAGGATAACTAGTGTTTCCCAATTAAGTTTCCATTAATGTCAACAATGCTATGCTCTTCAAGTTACACATTGCTGTCTTTGCCTAATCTGACTAATGCCATGTACACACACAACAATAAACTGGTTTTAATAAACACACATCCACATGTTTTGTCTCCTACATGATAAAATAGCACTGTCAGTTGCTATGATAAAAAGTCTTTTTCCTTGTTATATTAACTTTTTTCATGTGTGCCTCATTATTTCTTCATGTTGATTACTCAGTGGAAGAGTTGAATTCTATTTAAGGCTATGGAAAAGGTCATGGACAAAAGGGAACTCGAGTCTCTGTTTGCCATTTAAAAAGAAAACTACCACACTTGTGTTAATATTTGCTTTCACTTACAGCAGGTATACTTAGGCTATCTGAATAGCAAATCATGGTGGGCAGTGTGAATGAAAAAGTACTGAAGTTATTGATCTCAGGAGAAAGATGTAGACATGTAACAACTGATTCTTTTCCAACAGAAATCTCTGAAAATACTTGGGATATTCCTGTTATGATTAAAAGCTGTTCAGCTACCCAAACTTATCAGCTAACCACTGCAGAGAAGTGGCATTATTTGTATCTGATATCCAGAGAAGTAGAATAAGTAATCAGAACATGCAAGTTAAAAGAAAAGTCTATTAAGATAAATGAAACTGAATGCAAAGTAAAAGTTGCTACCAAAAAAAAATTATTTCAATAAGAATAAAGTTACATGAGCACAGGACATTAATGACTTCTGGGTCTGGTCAGCTGGTTGATTACTTTTGGTGGGGGGAATGAAAACATTGTGAGAAGAATTTTGGTTGCAATTCCAGTCTTAATTCACCAGACAGTCAGACCTTTTTAAATGCAAATATTACCACTGCTTTCAAGGAATGGTGTCAAACCAGGTTTTCTAAGAGATAATAAAGGTCAGGATTTGAGGTTTGCTGCCTGGATCCATCAATAACATTCAAAAAAACATCACATTTTATATTGTGAAAAATTACTTATTGAGAGGCAGTATTTCATAACTTGCAGAAGTGTTTGATTGCTACTTGTGAGAGTTTGCACAGGCTGTAAAAAGGGCTCAGTCAGGTCAGGATCTTCCAAAATAGGCCCTGACAGATACAAGCAATACTTACCTCGCCTGCTCTGCCTTGATATCTGCCTTGGTTGTCAGAAATAACCAATGCAATATATCCCTTCCAGCATGATATTATCTCTTTCCTCAAAATCATTCATCCTTTTGCCATCTTGCCCTTCTTGTAAGTGGGAGCAAACAGAGAAATTAAGCACAAGAAGATCAAGTTTGTCCCTGCTTCCAATTAGGAGAAAGGCTGTAAGCAAAATGGAAAGTGCACTGAAGGAATATGCAAAAGACTATACTAAAAATGCAATTATGCTCCAAGTAGAAGAAAAATGGCAGGAAACTGCATCTTGGAAAAGTCGATACAGAATGGTATTTCCTCCCACACAGCTTTGGTAACAATATGCTAATGCTGTATATTTGACAGTAGTCTGCTCTAGCTTCTGAATCTGTGACAGCCAAGGCATGAAACAGCATTTAAAATAGCATTTGCTTATTATTTTTAAAGTATTATCTAAGTTCATAGCTACTATGGTATTAAAATATGACTCAGATAATCACTAGTCACTGTTCAGTCCAAAATTGCAGTTAAGCTGGAGTTACTTATATGAAAATGGAATCCTAGCACATGTTAAATTCTGCCTTTAGACGTGATGTCTAAACAGATCCTGGAAACAATACTTCATACATGGCAACACATGAGGAATGCTAAGAAAGCTTGCTATGTCTGAAGATTGCAAGGTATGGTCTTTTGATGGGATTAATGTCGGTGTTATTTTGCCTTTTTAACACAGATTAACTTCTTTTTTGCTTTTATAAGCTTTTAAATATCTATAAATGACAGCTTGGTTCAGCTATTCACTGCAGATTGACTTATTCAGTCTAATTACTTCTTTTCCTATGTTATATGAAAGCATTACTCATACGTTCAAGTTTACTGGATGACTGATCTAAAAATATACCTGCATCTTCAGTCCATTTTACACACTGAATGAACAGATAAACAACATAATTCATTTTCATCAAGGCATTTTTTAAAGAAAATTGTACAGTTGCGTGCACAGAATTAAAAAATTAAGTTGTACTAAGTGATTAAAAAACAAGTAGATGGTTTTCAACTCTGCAGAGATTGAGACTGCAGAAAGCAGTTAACAAAAGTTTCAGACCAGAACCACCAACCAGGGAACAGCATGACATGGGGTGCTAGGGGAAAATTAAGAGTTCAGGATTGTGTCAGAGGCTGCTTCTAGTGACTCATTTGGCAAGAAGAGAATTGTATTAATCCTCCGTGCCTCTCAGTTCACCTAGAACAGGGAATGTTTTCTGTAACCTGCCCAGAATGCACTCTATTTCCTTTCCCATGGCCTCTCCCAGAAGCACATCATCAAAATGTACCCTGCCCATTCAGCAGAGTACCCTGGGGAGCAGGGCATGAATGAGGAGAAACTACTCACACCCAAAGAGAGCAAATAAAGTGACGGTCACCATGTCCTCTTCCAGAGAAACTCAGAAAAAAGCCAAGTTCCTGTATTGCCTCTTACCTTCTCCATTCCCAATAACTTTTGAATTGGCTGCTTTCACAAGGCATACTTTTCACTATACTTATATCCACATAGGCAAAATGTGCAGGACAAAACCACAGAGAGGGAGAAACATCTTCATACATTTGTCAGTACCTTCTCTTAGTTGACCAATATGACAATGAAAGAGTTTCATTTTTGAATATTTCAGGATTATTAGTAGGTCAGGGATAAAAATAATCTATTTCCAAGATTCACAGCACAATACTTTATACAATTCTTCTTCTTTTAGTACATCACAGCTTTTATCATCTGACATTTTTCTTCTTTCCAAAACAAATTTCAGCTTCCTTAGTGTATTGCTGCTTATTTTATAGCTTTCATTTCCATTTTCTCCCTTGCACTAAGATTCCACCACAGAGATTACATGGCCATTCATAAGTTCAGCAGGACTAAATACTTACTGGACAAATCCCAAATCATTTTACTGCCCAGGGGCCGAGAAAAGGAGTTTTCACATGTCTGCAAAACCATTCTGGATTGGAATTATTGACCCTGAGAAAGTTCATATCATCATCTTTTCTTGCTTGCTAATTGCACTGCTCATTTCCAATCAGCATGTTGCATCTTGAAATAATTGCACTCAAGAGATTACTTCTACAGTCATGTGTTCAATCTCAGAAACTTCAATTACTTGCACTCATCACGAACAACTTTGGCCCATTTTTTATGTCACGAAGAAAAAAATTCTTGGAATTTCATTCATCTTTCAGAAGCAAAACACAGAAAAACAGAAAAAACAACCTTGTTGTACAAACTACTGCAGTACCAAAGCACTGTGGCTGTACCACCCTAGGAAGGGAATAGTGTGGCAAGTGTACAATAAAAAATTTAAGTTTCTTTCTTCTTCAAGCTAAAATGATTGCTTGCCTCACATATTTAAAAACAAAGTATATAAATTGCAGTTAGGACTGTGATTTCCCAAGCACAAATCCCAGAGTTTGAAAGAGTCCCTGTTTCATATCACAGTTGTGTGCTCCAGGTCTCAGGAAGCTCAGAGTTACAGCCCTGGGACCATTGCTATTTGTGAAGTTTAAAACAGAAACCAGCTCTTCCCACCCTCAGCCCTGAGCTTGCCCTCCAAGAACAGTGAATTCCCAGATGGGTTCCTGTTCCTAGAAACAGGAAGAGTTTCAATCATGAACACTGCCTGAGTCAAGAAGAATTTTGAACATTTACAGTGTTACCAACACCTCTTCCTTTCTCAACCAAGTATTTTCATAGAATCATGGAATCATTTAGGTTGGCAAAGACCTTTAAGATCATCAAATCCAACCCTTAACCTGGCACTGCCAAGGCCAAGCACTGAATCATGTTCATAAGTGCCACAACTCCAGGAGATGGTGACTCCACCACTTACCTGTACAACCTGTTCCAAAGGTTGAAAAATCTTTCAGTGAAGAAATTTTGCCTAATATCCAGCCTAAACTTCCCTTGGTTCAGATATTGAAGGGAGAATGGTAATGTGACACAGCTAGTAATGGTAGATTTACAAAGTTGTAAAAAAACTAAACGTATTAAAAACAAACTTAAAGAAGCACTGAGCTGATATTTTGACTGCCTGATGATGTGCAGACATAGGAAAAAATACATCACCTTTTGAAACTGAGTCTTCATCTCTAGATTTATTAACAATTTCTTTTAAAAGCATCCTACAGAGTATATTATTTATAAACTAGCATCAATATAAAGAAGAGATTGTTTAGGAGATGTAAAAGTAAAGTTACTATTCAGTGTAAAAGTAGTAACCAACAATTATCACATTCTTTCAAAGACTGCTGAAAGGTCCGAATGCAAAGAAAATCTTTTGACAACCCTTGTAAAATGGCCACAGAATGCCAAAAATTATTCTTTTGGCAGAGATAGAATGTTGTATCTGTGCAAGCCCATGGATGCCTGAGGACAGCACCGTTCAGCCTGGTACCTGCATTGCAAATCAGACTTCCAAACCTTTCTATGGCCTTCAGCTTTCAATACAGTCAATACACTTAAACATTCAATCTGCTGTTGCAGTGTAATTTTTATGTGTTGACTTTCTTGTTCTCTGTGACATTTGCTTTTCCCTTCCTTTATATATTCTTCCTCTGTCAGCCTAAGGCCTCCTTCACATGGCTACCTCTTTCACTATGCCATTAAACGCCTTTTTCCTGTGATTCATTGATTTTAATTCTTTTCAGCTAGTAACTGCATATTTCTATTTTATATGAGCAACTGTCCACAAAACAGATTCCTGATTACATTTTCTGCTGAAAAACAAAGCAGATTCTCCTTTATTCTAATCCATCTTTTCTTTTTAATAGAGCTGAAAATTGGGCCCTATATTCCTATTTTCCCCTGAGACAATACATTCACATCAATATTTCACTATGTAGTTGACTTGAATTTTGGGGATTCTTTGTTTAGGCTGGTCACAGTAGATACCAGTGTTCATAATATTTTCAGAGATAGAAGTGGCTGCTAGAAATCAAAAGGGTTTCTTTCAATGTCTTGCCAAACAACAAGGGGGCACATTGAAATGTCAGGACAAATGCAAGCAAAGATCTTCTCTGAG